AATGTTTTGAAACTTCCCTAATCGCCCCGCCCCCGTAACTCTCGTTTTCCCAATTTCGGTGACCATTGCGATGAGGCGCGTCCGAAGTCAGCTAATTAAAACTAAACCCTTTTGCGCGGTTCCTCCCCCAAAGCGATGTCGAAATTCGGGACTCTGAAACTCTGGATTTAGGATGTCGACTTCGGGCGAAGGACCCGCGTTAATTGCCAGAGTTTAGGCACACAAATATATAGAGCCGAGCGGAACCAAAGTAAGCCACACTTTCCGGAAAGCCGGACTAGCGGCTGCGATCCTTGGGAGCGAAAATCAAAGTCAAAGGATTAGGGATGTGAAATGCGAGATGCGATATGCCAAATCCGAAATCCGAAATCCGGGGATCAATTTAGCGAAAGGGGTGCGGCTGTGTTTTCAAAATACTCGTAAACAAATTGCCGAAAAGTGCACACACGATAACCCACTATACCAATATACCAATATACCAAAGGACGAGGACGAAAGGGGCAACGCCCAGGATTTCTGCGATCGGTATATACATACATACATATATCCTTTTGGATTTTCGGGTGGGCGAGTTGCGATGTCCTTGCTCGCGACCGCGGGGGCTGCCTTAATTGCCTGCAACTAATTATGAAAGGTGGCCGAAAGGAGTGAGAACCAGATTCAGATTCAGATTCAGAACCGAAACCGAAACCAAAGCCGAAACCGAAACCGAGAAAAAGGGAAAGGATCGCCGAGTGTAAGGACGAAAAGGAGTGGACACTACTGTTTGTCCTTGCCGCGATTGTCGTCATTGTTGTTTGCAATTGTCATCTTTATAGATGATGCCATTGTCCCTCGGCCGCCGGCACCCGTAAAATTCGGCCGGATTAGTGGCGTACAGCTAGCGAAAGGATTAAAACGAAATTAGACACAGGTAAAATCCAGCAAACTCTACATTTACCGCCCCGAACTGAAGCTGAAGCTGGAGCTCTCGAGCGGATTCGAAAGCCTAATTGAAATTAATTATGCGGGGGCCCTTAAGTGTGCGACCTGTTTAATTATGCAAGTGGCAGCGGCAACTTTAAGAACTTTTTCACACCCCCTTTTTGTGTCGTCGAGCAGGCGACAGATTCTCATAATTAATGCAGGCGACAAGTGAAAAGAAAGGGTTATGCAAATTGTGTGCCAGCGTCGCAAATGGAAATACCCTTTAGCTTAAGATCTTTATATATCATTTTAGCTTGTTAACTATAAATTAGTATACGGGTTTATTTTCAATTTATAAAGAAACAGTTTCAAAATTTAAGTTTTAAGATAGATTATGTTTGTTTTCCCTAGTTTTTTTCGATTTCAAGTGTCGTTCTTAATTAACATTTATCAATATTTTTCTATTTACTTTATAAAGAATATTTAATTTAATGTGACTAACTCATGTTTTCAATACATACCAGTTAATTAACAAATTTGATAACTATATAAGAAACTTTAACCTAAAGATACAAAATTTTTAACTCCTTGAAAAGCCTGTTCTTCATTACAAAATTTCCAATATCATTCACTTACTTTTACTAGAGAATTGCAACATTGATAACCTCTGCGACTCCCACAGATCAGAAATCAGAATATATTGCTAGGGTATAAAAAATCCAGACAAAGTTTCCCCACCCCTTAACCCGTTCTTTTTTCGGGGGTGTCGTGGGATTTTCAAGGACAGCTTGAACCGCATTACGAACCTTAATGCCAGAACTCTGCATTTTTTTTTTTCGTTTTGGCTCATAAAACGGCGCTTAATGCGACTCTTGTCAATAATCAATTTTCGCTGAGCCGCTTCGCCTAATAATGCCAATTTATTTTCATGGCTGGAAAAAAGCGCAGAAAAACAGGAGCACCACCCAAAAAAAAACAAAAGGGGTGGCAAAAGGGGTTTTTTTGTGAGGTACACACACACACACAAACACACACACACGCTCGTGAGCGGAAAATGCCGGCAATTTATCTGTTTGATTTTCAGATATGCCAAGTCTAAGTCGTGGAAAAATCGCTCAAGATAACGGGAGCGACATCCGTATGGGAATCAGTCAGGGATATGGCGTGAGAGAATTCACATATATATATATATATGCTTTGGGCTTAAGTTTCCCTAAATCCACATCTTCATCAGCCAACAACTTCACTTACAAGGGTAAATGAAGCATATCAATTGCATGGCAAGGAATGATATCTAAAGATATTTATAAATAATAGTGTTCATTTAAAAAATATTTACATTTCCTTTATGGAATTTGTTTGAAATAGGGAAATAGCCATCAATTTCTACGTTAAAATGGCAAACAAATTGATTATCTTGTATTTTTATAGGTTGTGTTTTGGGTCTCTCATAAAATATTATTTTTATATTTATCTTTGAAAACACCATTTTATATATGTGTTTTAAACTTTTCTTAATGGTATAGATTGACATTTATGTGCAATTCTTACAAATATAGCCCTAAAACTATAAATAAATCTAATTTGACATAGAATAGCATTACTATTATTATCCTGTATTTTTAGGGTTTTGTTTTTGGACCGCTTTGTGATTTTGCTGACTGTTGCGAGTGCGATTTCGAGTGTTTCTTGACTTTTAAAGGAGTTCATTCATGAAAAGGAGACATCTTCATTGGCAGATGCCACCCAAATTGGCCAAACTCTTTTGTGCCCAACTTGGCCATTAACTAATGGCCAGAATCGAGGACAATGCCAACGCAGGTGGCCCTGCAGCTCGGGACCTTCGAGTGTTTCTGGCCAAGAATGAATGCCGTCTATTTTAGTGTTTTCTCCATGGGCCACACACACAACACTGTACACCATACACCGTACACCACACACCACACACCTCACCTAATGACAACAATTAGGGCAGCAGGAATTCGAACGGTGACTAAACAAGATTTCCCCAGGATTTCGGCAGGACACTCGACAACATAATCAGGCAGCCAACTGCCACGTGGGGTGCCCAAAGGATCACCAGGACATGCACAAATGGCGCAAAAATTGCAGACACTTCAATTATGAGTTGGGTAAATATTTTTGTGCAAACAACGCAACAGGATATCAATTCAGTGAAGCATTATCGAAATCTGCCCATGTGCAATGTGAATGTGAATGCGAATGTGAATGTGAATAACTCAATTTGACACAAAAGTCAATGGAAGAGCAGAGCTGCGAATAGGAATCGGAATCGAAATCGGAATCCAAGGAAGCCACCCCGGAAGCCAAGGAAAACAGAAACGAACTCGAGGACCCCGCATTGTTTTGCCAAATCAACGGGGCACCTGGTATACATCTATATATACACATACTTTAGGCGAATATAGATGTCCTTTTATTTTTAGATATCTAAAATCGCAAACCAAAGAAAAACATTAAAAAATCGGTTTGTTTTTGTCAAATCTTTGGGAAATAATAATAGAAATTTGGAATATTATAGCTTGTTCCACACCTCGCTTGATTTTCATATATTTATTTATCATTCACAGTATGACTAAAATCCTAAAACCCCAAAAAACACTTTTACAAAAAAGGGTTTTGTTTCAATCCCTTGGGAAGTAATGTCAATACGTTATAATGTTATACATGGTTGAATTCGTCTTTAAATTTCCAATCAAATGGCATTCATAGCTTAAAGTGTTTCATTTTTTCAAATTTTTGAAAAAAATCATGATGCTACCCCTTATAAAAAATAAGAAAAGTGGTCATAAAATTATTATTTCCTTATCGACTGGAAAAGTGTCCAAAGTAAAAGTATATGTCACCAGCAACACAAAACAGTCAGTCTTATTGCTGTGCCTCTTATTTTGGCCAAGTTACAACAAAAAATCTTTTAAGAAATGTGTGTGTGTTTTTTTTTAATCTCCACAAACCAAAACACCATTTAAAAATCTGTTTTTTTTATCAATCGATTTTAGCTCGATGAACTCGTCATAAAATTTGCAATCGATTGGCACTCATAGCTAAACAATTTTATATATGTCCTTTTTTGAAAAATAAACACTTCTTTTGAAGATTAACCGAAGCCAATGAATTTATTTTATAACTTTGTAAATACATATATAATTATTTAAGCAATTATATATTAATAAACACACAACGAAGAGAGTATTTGTAAAATACAAACAAGCACGAACTCATACTTGAGGCTCGTTATTGGATCAACAAACATTTACGTTACTACAATTGATATTTGATATTATTTTTGTTCGCAAATTTGTTTCACTTTCGACTCAGTCTCTGTTTTTTTGCGCACACTTTTCCTGGCAGCTGTTGTTGGCCTTCTGCCTGGATTTACGGCTAAGGATCCTTGGGATCTGCGTCTCGGATTGCGTAAGCCATAAAAATCCGGGCCAGGATTTCTGCGAACGAGGATCCTCGCGTGTCAGCCTAAAAAACTGGAACTGCACGCAACTGGAGGAAAAAATGAACACAAAAAAGCGACGCACAAAAAGGATATATCCACGCGTCATAAAAAGGCAACCGAAATTCCAGCGAAATATTGAAAAACTCTAGACAACATTACGCAAAACGCAATCGGCGAACCGAGACCGTAAATCAAATAATAAAAAATTGCCGCGAACAAACAAAAAAAATAACGAAACTTGCCTTGGTTATGGTGACTCTTGAGTTCAGTTTTTTAGTTCTGTAGCTCAGTTTTTTTTTTCGCTAGTTTACAGCGAAAAAAACGAGGAGAAAAAACGCGAATATTTTTTATGACTCTGGGATTAGGATTTATGACCCAGGACTAGATGATGTAACCGTAGGATCCTCGGCGAAAATCGCGTATCATAAAATATGCGGCTGCTAATGAGGTGTTGGATGGAAAAGAGGGGGCAGATAATAAATATACGTAATACTAAAGTTTACAAGAAAAATTAGTTAATATGGTTGGCAATCAAATTTTGAACATATATTATAATTTAAAAATAAAGGTAGGCCTAGAAAAATAAAAATTACCAGTAAAGAAACCCTTGCCTTTTCAATCATACTTTTTTTAAATCGTTAGTAGTGTAGAATTTTTTTCCAGTCCAGTTACAAGTATTCAGAAATTTTTCATAAGCCAAAATTTCTCAATCTGTTCTTTATTTTTATAATACTCAGCTGTAAATATGTTCTCTCGAGGATTAAATATCAAAAGTAAGTACTTCAACAAAGGAGATCATATTCATATCATATTCAGATTTTCGTATTATAATATACATATAATATTCAAGAAAATTATTGTTGCTACGTGAATTGCCTAAGATGATTATGCAGATTATTAGGTCAAGCCCAATCCCAAAAATCGACCTGCATGTACCAATAGTGAACTAGTGAAACTAGGGAAATAAAGCTATTTACAAAATGTAATTATTTAAAGCCCCATAAATTTTTCGTCTTTAAATTTGATTTTAATTTCTAAGGTGCCTAGCTTGCACATCTTTTAGCATAATTGAAGCTAATTCAAAAGTTTATACAACATCTTAAATTTAAACATCTTAGTATTTAACATCTTAAAAAAAATTTCTTAAATATATTTAAACTGATTTTCGGTATTTTATAATTGAGATTCCATTATTTGTTCTTTATTTCCATTAATATTAATATTATATTTATTGTTTTTGTATTCATCCAAAGATCAGCAGCGTGCGTTTGTGTGTGGCCTTTTGTTGCGCAACATTTCGAATATTTTCCGAAGGATGCCAATGGCTTCCAAACAAAATAATTTCAATTGGCCAACACTCCAGAGAATTCGGAATATCAAAGATGTCGATGTAAAGGATGAGAAGCCCTATTCCACATACAAAGTGGACAATTATCGTGCCCACGAAATGTGGCAGAAGGCCAGAATTGGTGCACGTGAGCAGGTGCGTCTAATGGCCGATTGGGCTGATTCCTTAAACCTAATAATCTGAGTGTCCAGCAGAACAGCCTTCGTGGCCATCAGCCGGCCAATTCCGACGTAAAATCCGATTCGGAGGAGATCATCAGTGCCCTGAACAAAGTCCGGCAAATTGAGGAGCGACGCAAGATTCACAACAAGATGCAGCTCCTCATGCAGGAGCAGCAGGCGCTGGACGAGCAAATGCAGGACGAAAAGGATCGTGTGGCTCCCATTAGGGAGGCGCTCGTCAAGCGGGAGCCGGTTAGGCCGGCTAATCCGAATCCGCCCAGGGAGTACGCACCGATCCGACCCGATCTGGACAGTTGCCGACCGGGACCTTGGATATCCGCCACAGTTCTGGTGGCTACGGGCAACTACCAGCAACTCAGGAACACGCCAAAGCCCTACAAAACGAACGACAAAAGTGACCAGGTGAGCGAAAAAACACTCCAACTTCAACTTATTACCAACAAAAAAATTGAATTGAAAAGGTGGCCCAAAAATCATTTCAGGAATTTTTTTTAAATATTTTTTTAAGGACTTTACAATTAACTTAATGTTTATAGTCTACAAAAGTGGTACTTATTTTCAGTATAATTCAAATAATTTTTTTGTAAACACATCTAAAAATCTTCCAATTTTATTATTTTATTCATTGGAAAGTTGAATCTATGCTAAAAATATGTATTGTTTTATTCTTGATATAAAAATCAAAGTGATTTTCAGTAATATGTATAAAATTTTACTCATTAATATTTGCAATGCTTAATATTTAAATTAACACCATTTTAGCTATTTGAAAAATATGCACCAAAAAGATATAAATGATATAAGAGTTGTAGTACTATACTTATTACAAGAATTGTAGATTTCCTTTCTTCCTTAAATGAATAGGTATTCTTAAAATATTGTAGCTTTGCTCTAGATAGTATTCAGTAGTTCCAAACCAAATGAAATTCAAAAATCTATTTAAAGAAAATGTTCCCTCTAAATTTCAGGCCGTGTCCCAACCTGAGAAGACGTCTCTCCCGGCAAACTCGACATGTGGTGTGCCAGAACCCATCACCAAGTTGGCCCAAGCCCAAGCCAACACCAATCTGGACCAGACCAATATCGAGGAGCGGATGGACAAGTGGCAATCGGAGGACGAGTACTCCAAGGAATCGTCTTGCTTGAAGTTGTGTCACCACTCTGTGATCTCCAAAAGGGGATATCGCTAGTCAAGTAGAAGAAAATCAGCAAATCCAGCAATTCAATAACACTGTAATATCGCAACTCACCCGGACCGTGTAATTTCCAGGACTTGGGCTATATCCCATATAAATTTTGATCAGCAGCGGGACCTTTGACTCGACAGCCTGCTCATTGTGTTACACAGCGCATCACAGGATTCCTATTTTTATAATGCTTGAAAACCCTTTGGAAAAGATCAACCAAATTCTATTTTAACGCTCACAATCATAGGTGTAGTTTTATATAAGTTTTACAAAAAATATATTTGGAATAAATCAAAACGGGAATTTTTTATGATAACGAAAGTCAAGAAAGCTAATATTTAATTGTTTAATTTTGTAGCTTCATTTTATTTTAAAATTCAATCTGCTTAAACAATTATCTTAAAGTAATCAAAACTGCTTGAGAAAGTAGTGTAAATATGTATTTTATAACAATATCTTAGTTAAACTATGCTGTAAAGAGCATATTCTCCTCGAAACAACCCCTAAACGAGTGAAAAACTCTTTTGAATAGTGTTGAATAATTGACGCCCGCCTGAAATTGAAATATCCCACTCAAGTGATATCGACTCTCCGATTCCGATTGCGATTGCGATTTACTAAGGTCTAATGCCGTTTGACACAGCTCTCGATGACCTTTCAGTTGGGTGTGGATATGGGGAACTACCCTTAAGTTGGAACAGGGGCCATATAATTAGTGTAATTACCTCAACAGCCTACTAAATTCGAGAAAAATGCAAACAAAAATTAAGAAATCACAACATTTATATCCCCCTGTCAACGAGCCCCGTTCGCCCGATGCCGTGTGCGATTCCAGGACAAAGGAGTCCTTTTGGTCCTTTTGGCATAGAGTCCCTTGTGCGGAGGCCGAACAATTGATGCCATCTAATGACAGGGTGGATTGCAGTTTTTCGTTTTAATTCCAGTGCCAACTTCTGTTCGTTCGCTCTCTCCGCCCCAAAAACACCGGCAAAATAATGTTTAAAGTCCGCTTTGCAACTTTGCAGTTGCATTGTCAGGACCTCGGGATCGGATCGCCGGTTATAAATTACGTTTGGCGGGCAACTTCCTTTCGGGACTCTGGCTTCTATTTTGTTCGATGTTCCACCCTTTAGTCTCCTGATGATTGGCAAAAACCGAAAATAAAAAGCGGAGGATGCATATGAAGACGCAGTCATTAGTGCCGTGGTCATGGCGAAAGTGCCAATCATGCCGAGGTACAAATGTCCTGCCATGTCCTTTCGCCCAGTTACACGGAATCCCCGGAGTCGAGGGAAATATTTTGGCTCAAGCATAATTAACGCTTAATGAAAATATTTTGGGTCGGCAACCCTTTGAAGGCGGCGGAACACACACGAAAACTATGGAAATTTGTTAACTGGAAAATTTGCAGTGGCATAAAAAAGAATAGCTAATCATGCCGACAAACGGAAAAGTTAGGACTAAAATCAAAATAGGTGAGTCTGTGTAATATATATACACCGTTATCTTTCTTTCTTTTTTTTTTTGCATGCATTTGGGATAAATATTTATTTTTGTTATTTTATGGTCAATAAAATAAGTTGAAAGGTTTTAAAACGGAGGATTAAGTGTTTAAATCTATTTATTCATATATTTTTATTTTTATTTGTGTTTCCGTATGCCAATATATTTAATATATGATTTGTGTACCGATTTGTAATATTAACAAAAAAATTATATTCTTATGTAAACTTGACATAAGAACTAAACACTAGAGTGATCATTTAAAATAAAATATAATAAACATACAACAGCTTGATTAGATTAATTTTTATGTTTTAACTTTACTTGGACAGCCAAGATTGAAATAAAAATAAACCAAATTGTCTTTAAATTCCCGATTTCGTTTAATATTTATTAGCCAATTTTTAAACGTCGGACTTGTGCCATTAGATAAACCATAGGGTTGGACTCCAGTGCCTACTAAGTTGGTCATTACACGACTAAGTAGCATCGAAAACAAGCCACCCAAGATGGGATGACAGAAGAAGTCAGCGGGGAGTGAAGAAAAAATATACTATACGGATATGGATGGAGGGGTTTTTTCGCTGGGCGTTGTCGACATTGTCATCAACACATAACTGTCAGCTTTTACTATCGCTACCAGGGGGTTGCTGCTGGAGAGATTTGTAGACCCGGTGGTTAAATTGAAACCCAGAAACGGTGGCGAAAAGGGGAGGGTTTCTCGACCCGCCGCCGGCAAATGACCCAAAACTGAGAGACATCATCATTAGGGCATCAAAATGGGCAAGTACCGGGCAACAACCATGAATATCCGTGGAAAAATCATCATCAGCAGTGAAATGCATACAAAATGAAATTGAACAATGCTGTGTTTTTGTGTATATAGAGTATAGTATTATAGTATGGTATATAAAGTGAATATGTATTTGTATTCCCATGGCCGACTGACATATTTTATGCATTTGGCATTTTGGCTGAAGTGGCGGAATCAAAGCGATTGTTCGCAGGGCAAACATAAATAAGTAAATGAAATGCTGCATAATTTATGCATTTAATGTAAACAGACAATTTGGCGCAGCTTTTTGAGCAGTAGCAAAGAAGAAGCCCCCAAGACATGTAACAAGGACTAAAGTTTACGAGGGCAATTCAATGATTTGGGGTATGTATTTAAGTTATAATTTAGGGTGTAAATTTTTTGTTCTTAATTGGGATTTTACTTTTTCTTATTAAATATACATAAATCGTTGAATATGTACGTTTTTAAATGATTCCAAAAGCTATATTCTTACAAGCGGACAAGTAACGGACACATTTGAGTTCATTAAATAATAACCTGAGATGTACATTATTATTTAATATTCTTAATTCCAATAATGAAACCCTTCAAGTCTCCACTTAACATTTTCTCTAACTGATAAGCGGACAAATTTAATTCAGAAAATAAAAGTGTAGTGTTAAATACACCACCTGCGGACAAGTCAAGGAAAATAATATATAAAAACATTTTTTTTTGGGGAAGAACTAAATTGAAACTATAAGTACGCCCCTCGCTGGCTTGCGTCCTCATTCAAAGATGATTTTTGCTGACAGCCAACAGTCAGCGCCGTGTCAGAAATCACAGGCCCAAAAAAAAGCACCCAACCAGCGAATGGAATAAAGAAATGCGAACAAGGTCCTGGGGTGGGGTACGAAAAAAAAAATATATATATATATATATATGTACAGGCCGAGGACGAAGGACGATGAGAGCCCAGGGAACAGGAGGGCACAGGCACTTGATGAGCAAATCAGGGCCATGGTTCATTGACGTAGCAAATTGGAACTTCCTCTGGGAGCGGCGATGAAAATAATGATGAGGAACGGGAACGGGAACGGGAACAAGGCCGTGAACGAGGATGAGTCCTCGAGGAAATCCCAAGTAGCGCCAGGTAAAAAGAGCCAAGAATCCAAGGCGGAAGTATCCGAGAGATACGCATGGTAATGTAACTGATAAACGAAGCGTAGAGAAGTGAGGCAGCTTCTTATGTTACACGACATTCCATTATCCATTATCCAGCACCCATTATCCATATGGCCAACCCATCCCATCCCAGTCATCCCCTTCGAATTAAGATGCGAATCGGGCGGCACACAAGTTGCCGCATTCATTCATAAATATCTGTCGCATCTTTTGTGCATCCCATGGATTGAGATTGAGTTTGTTTACCTCACAGATACACAAATCGAGTTACAGATTGTGCGAAATGTGCGAAACGATCCGCCAGATGAACTCGTAAAACGGATTCCGGCCACTTGTAAGGAAAAATAAAAATAAAAAACAAAAAACGAAAAGAAAGGCGGAGAAACTGAACATCAAAGCCCAATGTCTAAATGCAGAACTAACCCGCACATTGTTGCAAAATAAAAAAGAATCCAAAATTCCACGTTATATGACTATTTGGACTTTTCGTTAAAATAACATTTTTTTTGGGTTTTATTTTGTGTAACTTAACCAAAATTAGTAGCACAGCTAAAAAAAAAGACTGTTTTATGCAACGTATAAACTTTTTTTTCATAAGATGTTACATCACAATATTTTGCAAAAATGTAACAAAAATAAAAAGTTCAGATTTAAATGTCATTTGATTTGAAATTTTGTTACAAGTTGATTGAGGTATACCATTCCATCATTGGATCAATATTTATGCTGATTTGGCCAAAAAACTGATTGTTTTTCATTTTTTTGTTTATATTGGTACATTATTTGTTTAACTTTTTAATTTGAAAATTAAAATGAATATATTTAATAAACCTATAAATTTATTTAGCTTTTAAGATGGTATCATAATGTCTGGCAAAACTAAATACGAGTTTTCGGTAATGAATGGCTGACTAGTTTTGTTGATACTTTTCCCATACCTTTCGAACTCGCCCAAATTGAGTCATAAACAATGAACCCTCATTAATAATCATAATTCCGATGGCGCTTAAAATTTGTTTGACAGTCTTAATTGGTTTTGTCTTCGCAGATCGATGAGGATCGTGAGGATCGATGCCAACTGGTGAATGGTGAATGGTTAATGGTTAATGGATAATGGTTAACGGCTAATGGCAACTTCCGCCCGATCGACTGGACATGTGCATCCAGTGTTTTTCTCCCTTTTTTTTCCGTTTTTTTTCCGTTTTTAGTTCGAAGTTCGAACTCCTCCGCAGTGTGTGAGCGAGTAATTTGGGCTCATTAAAATGGTTCCGAAGTGTCATTCCCGAAGAGGGCAAAACTCCGCGACATGTGGGAAATGGGCTATAAAAACTATATGTATATGTTGCTATACATATATCTACATGTGCAGGGGCCCAGGAAATCGAGGGACAATAGAATTGCGGCGGTAATTGTTGGCGTTGGTCATGGTGAACCGTAACAACAGCAACTGTCAGAGGGATCTGTTGGAAAAAACCCCGAAAAAGTCAGGGGAATGGGAGCCGACAAGTGCAGGGCCGAAAATGAACACGTGCGTGGGAGTAGGGGCTCTAATTGGGTCCAAAAACTACGAACAACATATGAAGAAACTCATCTGGTCAAGTTTTTTCTTTATTTTTATACTTTTAAGAAAAGTCGGTAACTATGAACTCATAACTTTCGCCTGTCAACAAACCAGCAAACATAAACAAATACGCTTAAAAAACTCTTAAACAAAGATAGGTTTTACTAAGGCCCCCTCCAAAAACAACACATTCAATGCAACCTAAAAAAAAAATTAAAAATAAACTCATAGTTAATTGAATTACAAAATGAAATTTCTTATAAAATAAGAAAAACACTAAAATTTGAGTGTGCATTG